ACCTGCTCAAGCTCTCCTAAGGGATTATGGTAAGCCATGTTTTTTTTTTTTTTTTCCTGAAATTCAAAGTTTAATAGAATAGCTTTAATGGTCAGGTTTTAAAACAAATAGTCTAAAAGCTAAGAAAAAGAAAAGAATTTTAAAATTTAGCTATATAGCTTTTAGCAGTTAGATTTTGGGTAGCTTATTAGATTTGTAAATGATGGTAATGGATAGTTAGGAGATATTTCTGGATTCTGTATCAAGTGCTGGCGATAGAGAGTCAAATGAGATGTTGGCTCTCCCTTAGAGCTCACAGTCTCATGGCAAAGATGTTCAGGAAGTCAGTTACTGCGGTGTAGAAAGGGGGTGGTGAGGTAGGCATTAGATGGCAATCTAGAGGAGAGGGTGTCTTTAGATTAAAACCTGTGTACCCCACCATATCTATTAGATTATTGTCACGAGTTTTAAGCAAGAGTAAGGAAGCATTTTTACTTTCTGCCCTACCAAATGAAACATTTGCTAGCAAAGCATCCTATTCAGTGATGTCCTTACTTTGGGCAATTGTTTTATGGGTTCTATGAGTTTGTGGGTACCTTTATGTTTTTATACACAAATACAGAATATTGAATCTGTGAGCATTTATCCAGCTAGATTGGAATGATATCTAGATTCTTAGATGTGAGTTTAATTTTTAAGTCATCTGGAGAGTTCATGAGTTGTGCTTATGAGGTTGATGAGTCATAAGTTCCTGAGGCATGTTTCTATGGTTTCTTTGGTTTAAATTTGCAATAAGTAGTGTTGAGCATGTTAGATGCATAAAGTCATTATGTGGAAACTCAACACATTTAGATATTTTATTTATAAAGAAATTATTTAAATCGTTATCTTACTGTGATGTAGATTTAGGTATATTATAAGTTGATAATTTGTTTATTTTTCCTGCTTTCTAAAACTCTTTTAAGCTAAAGAAATTTTTGTATTACTCCATGTGTTCTAATATAAATGTTTGAAGTGATTATTGTTCGTTTCTGCATTTTGAACTGGTGTTAGTGAGCTCTGCTTGTAATGTCGTAAAATATTTTTTACTAAGAAATCCAGATTTGTGTTAGTGTCGCATGAATGTCTCTTTTTAATGATCATTCCTTTTTCTGTTGTCACTGCCCTCTTTCTGATAGGATCGACAGGTATAATGTCCCTAAAGCTTCCTTTATAAATTCAGTATAATTTGTCCTTAAATGTCCTTAAATAAATTTCTCCTAATTTACTATTAGCTAAGTAGTAGTTACTTTTAAATGTAGAGCTGGAGGCCAAATAAAACACAGTGGCTTGGTTATTTAACTTTCTTAGAAGTATTAAAGTAGTCTTGGAGAATTAAATATTAAAATACATTTGAAAAGACATTGCATGTGATTTTTGATGGTTTAAACCCTGTAAGTAATTTCAACAGATGCTTTAGGGTAATTCCCAGCATCTGAGGAGGCTGTAAAATTTGAATTCTTTTCTCTATAAAACTCCAAGGAAATAATTGGTAGCCTTTTCATCATTTTTTTTTGAAAATATAGTTCTCTATGTTTTAATTTAGAAATTTTAAGATTTATGTTGTTATAAAATTGATACAAAAACTGCCAAATCTCATGGTTGTGTATGTGAAAGTACATGAGCTAGGCACCAGAAGCTGCTCTGGTCCAGCGTGCGTGCCCAGTGTACTGTTTGGTAGGGCTTGGTACTCAGGCCAGTGGGGCGGGAACATAGCACTGTGTGGGTGCCCATCGTGCTCACTGTGGCTGCTGTGGTCTGTGCCTAGTGGAATGCTGTGCTTCTCGTTACTAATGCTTAGTTGTTTTCCCTCCCTGTGGGTTGTGGCATTGGGGTTATATCCTAGCTCTTAATACAGATTCAGCTGCTGGGCTCCTGATTCGCAGCATTCATCTCGTCACCCAAAGACTCAACTCCCAGTGGCGCCAAGATATGAGCATATCCCTGGCAGCTCTGGAGCTTCTCTCTGGCCTGGCGAAGGTGAGGAGGATGGCCTTTTTATTTTATCCCACAGCCTTGGGCCATGACTCTTTTGTCTATGTCTCCTGACCCCTGATTTTGGGTACTGCAGTGTTGTTCATACTCAAACATAGTTTATATTCAAATGTGCAAAATTGAGCCTTCTTGTGAAATTTTATAAAATGAATTTTACTTTTAAAAAATAGGTTCAAAGAGTATGAATAACTTTTTTGCTGTTAATTTACAGAAAACATTTCAATATTTGCCATTTGTTTCTTTGCACATAATAATAGAATACAAATGGATTTTGTAGAGTGATTTATCCTAAAATATGCCATTTGGGATTACCTATGATTCTACCATCTTCCATTATCAGAGATATTATTTCAGGTTTGTGGGACTTCAGAGCCGGGTGGCCATTTGGCCTTCTCTAAATGTATTTTTTTTTTTTGAGATGAAATTTATAGAACATAAAATTAACCCATTTTAAAGCAGACAAGTTCATGGCATTTGGTACATTCACAGTGTTGTGTAACCACTAGCTTTCGTTCCAGAACATTTTTATCGCCCCTAAAGGAGAAGGAAATCCCAGAGCTATTAAGCAGTTTTGCCTCAGAATCCTCTCTCCCTCCAGTTTCTGACAACCACCAGTCTGCATTTTATCTCTGTGAAGCTACCTATTCTGGACATTTCATATAAATGGAGTCATACAATGTGTGACCCTTTGTGCCTGGCTTCTTTCACCTAACATAATGTTGTTTTTTTTTTTTCCAAGTAGCTGAAGCTAAAGGCATGTGCCACCATGCCTGGCTAATTTTTATTTACTTTTATTTTTTTATTTTTTTATTTTTTTATTGTGGAGATGAGGTCTCATCAAGTTGCCCAGGCCGGACTCTAACCCGTGGGCTCAGGCAGTCCTCTCACCTCAGCCTCCCAAAGTGCTGGGATTACAGGCATGAGCCACCGTACTCAGCCTAACGTAATGTTTTTGGGTTTCATTTATGTTGTAGGCTATGTTAGAGTTTTATTTCCTTTTATGTTTGAGTAATATTTCATTGTGTATATAGACCATAATTTGTTTATCCATTCATCAGTGGATGGCTATTTGGGTTGTTTCCATTTTTAGGCTGTTGTCAGTAGTACTGCTGTGAACATGCGTATACATGTATTTGTTTGAATGCCTTCATTTTTTTTTTGGATATACTTAGGAGTGAAATCACTGAGTCATTTGGTAATTCAGTGTTTAACTTTTTGAGGAACTGCCAGACTGTTTTTCACAGTGATTGAATTATTTTACATTCTCACCAGGAATGTATGAGCTTTCCATTTTCTCTGCATCCTCACTAACATCTAAGTGATTTCTTGTCAGTAAGATGGGCAGGATTATTTTGTGTGTAACACCTGGTATTGTGAGGGTCAAATGAAATGAAACATATAAAAGATTTTCTGGGCAGGACACAGTGGCTCACACCTGTAATCCGAGCATTTTGGGAGGCTGGGGTGGGAGGATTGCTTGAGCCCAGGAGCTCAAGACTGGCCTAGGCAACATAGCAAGACCTTGTCTCTACAAAATAATCAGAAAACCTGGCTGGGCATGGTAGCATATGCCTCTTGTCTCAGTTACTCAGGAAACTGAGGCCTGAGCCCAGCACACTAAGACGATGTGCTGAGCTGTGACTGTGGCTCTGCAGTCCAACCTGGGCAACAGAGGGAGACCTGGATCAAAGAAAAAAAGAAAGAAAGAAAGAAAGAAAATAAAAAGAAAACATTTTGTGAACAAAAAGGTGATACAACTGGTGGTACTGGCCAGAATTGGTATAGATTAAGCCCTCATTTTTCAGTTGTAGGAACAGGGCAAGTAGAGCTTTATTCTGAAAAGGTGGCTTGCAAGAGATGTGTATTCCATTGCCCAGGCAGAGTCTGCATTACAAACTACCAGCAGGGCTTATTGTGTGGAGAGCCTACTACAGTGTGCTGCTATCATAGAGAGTAGGGCAAGAGCTATAAAGTCATGCTATCAAGGAATCTCTAAGGACAGAGAGCCATGAACTTTGTGAACAATCTGTTGATCCACAGTGACTTACCTAAGCCTTAGAAATCAAGATAGGTAAGGAAACCTAAGATGTTCTCACCCCCACTTATAGCTTACTTCAGAGGTCCCCAGGGATGGACTTAATAATTTTGTGAGAGGCAGTTACTGATACGGAAAGTAAGAACAGTCATTTGTGAGACACGCAGGATCACACTGCCTTTGAGACAAAGGTGCTATTTCCTGTGGCCTTTAGTACACCCAGTAGTAAGAAAGAATTAGCCCTATGCGGAGTGTTGCTCAGGACCTGCTTAAAAAAAGATAATTGACTAACACTACCTTATTTCATGATTTATGATAAAGCTGTAGTAATCAAAACAGTCTAGCATTGGCATAGGCTTGGACAAATAGATTATTGGAAAGAATAGAGTTCAACATTAGATCCATACATATATGATCATCTGATTTTTGATAAAGGTGTAGAGGTAAAGGAGAAATGATAGTCTTTTCAACCAGTGGTGCTGATACAATTGGATATTCATATTTTAAAAAACAACTTTGATTCATACCTTGCACCATGAACAAAAGTTAACTCAAAATGGACTAAAGATTTCAATATAAAGCTCAAATTATAAAACTTCTAGAAGAAAACGTAGGAGAAAATCTTTATGACCTTGAGTTATACAAAGATAAATTGAACTTCTCCAAAATTAAAAAAATACTGTTCCTCAAAAAACACTGTGAAGAGAATGAGATAACAAGTCACAGACTGGGAGAAAATCTTTGCAAAGCATGTATCTGATGAGAGACTTGCATTTATTTAGATTACATAAAGAACTCTCAAAACTCAGTAACAGCCTTTCTTTTTGGTGGTGTGTGGCAGAGATATAGTGCAAATTTTAAAGAAGAGGAAGGTTGTTGGCACCACCTTCACAGATGAACTGAGCAAGTGTTCCCTCAGAAGCTTGCTGAAGGTGGCAGCTCTGGAGTTGAGGTCTGAGTTATACCAACCAGGACAGTGTCACTACCTTAGCCTTAAAAATGCAGAATGTTTTTGGTGTGAAGAAACCAGTGTATCTATGAATGACCAATACAATTCAGAAGAGGTTTGGCTTCCCTGAGGGCAAATAGAGCTTTATGCTGAAAAGGTGGCCTACAAGAGCTCTATATTCCATTACCCAAGCAGAGTCTGCATTATAAACTACCAGCAGGGCTTATTGTGCAGTGAGCCTGCTATATTGTGCTGCTGTTCATTGTAGAGAGTAGGGAAGGGCTATAAGGTCATACTATCAAGGAAACTCTAAGGACAGAGAGCCGAAGCCATGAACTTTGTGAACAATATGCTGGTCCACAGTGGGGACCCTGTTGTCTACTATGTTGCGCTGACAGGGTATGCTGGGCATCAAAGTGAAGATTATGTTGTCCTGGTAAGACTGACCTTAAGGATCCCCCGTCTGACCACATGAGCATTGTGGATGCTAAAGGTGAGATACTATTTACCACCCCCATCTCAGAACAAAAGGTTAGGAAGCCAGAGCCACCTGCAGTGCTCTATCCAGCCCTCACTGTATAACAGGGTCTCCTTTGCTGCTGGATCTGCAGTCTGGATGTTGTTTCGTAAAGACCTTTAATAAAGTCATTAAAAAAGACAAAATAACAAAAACCCTCAGTAATAAAACAAACAACCCAATTAAAATCAAGCAAAAGATTTGGACACTTTACCAAAGAAGATACACAAATGACAAAAAAGCAAATGAAAAGATGCTGTGTCATTATTTTTTAGGGAAATGCAATTAAAACCACAGTGAGATACCACTACATACCTATTAGAATGACTAAAATATAAAAGTCTGACCATACCAAATGTTGGTGAAGTTGTGGAAGAACTGTTGATGGGAATGTTATATGGAACAACCATTTCCAATTGGTTGGCAGTTCCTTAAAAAGTTAAGCATACTCTTGCTATATGACCCAATCATTCCACTCCAAGGAGACAGAAGAACATATATCTATACAAAGAATTATATATGAATGTTTATAGCAGCTTTATTTGTAATATTTAGAAACTAGAAACAACCCAAACGTCCATTGTTGACAGGTGACTGGATAAACACATTGTGGTATGTCCAAGCAATAGAATACTACTCAGCAATAAAAAGAAATGAACATTGGAGACACATAAAAAGTGTGTCAACTTTTGATAAATCTGAAAATATGTTGAGTCAAAGAAGCCAGACCCCCAAAAAAGGATATATACTTTTATTTATATGAACTCTAGAAAATGCAAGCTAATCTATGGTGATATCAGACCAGCAGTTACTTAGGGAGGGGAGCAAAGAGAAGTGATTCCAAAGGAGGAGATTTTGGGGGCTAATGGACATATTTATTATCTTGATTGTAGTGATATCTCACAGATGTGTATGTGTATCAGAACTGTGTGGTGGTTATACCCCTGAGCAGCTGCACAGAACTTTGTGTACAGCATATAGCATCACTGTGAGGTTGGGTTGGGGCTTAAAACTGTGCCTGTGTTCCATTGCCGGCTGTTCTTTCAATCTCTGGCAATGATGAATAGCTGTAGCCAAGAGGTTTGGGTTTTAGGGCATGAAGAACTATGCTAAACTGAAATACTCTTTTAGGATTTGAAAAATACCACTATTTTTGTAGACAGTACATCTAAAATATTCTGTTCTTTTATGTAAATAATGTAAAAAAGCAAGGCTTCCACATTGTATCACATTATCAAATAGGCCAAGCCTCAGTGCAGATGCTTTGAAATTGGTACAATGGCTTCTGGCTGACTGTTTTTGTTCCTCAAATGAATATGCTTAGGTAAAAGTAATGGTCGACTCAGGAGACCGGAAGAGAGCCATCAGTTCTGTGTGCAGCTACATTGTGTACCAGTGTAGTCGGCCAGCTCCTCTTCATTCCCGGGATCTGCACTCCATGATAGTGGCAGCTTTTCAGTGTCTCTGTGTCTGGCTGACAGAGCACCCTGATATGCTTGATGAAAAGGTGAGTTTATATAATCTTAAACCATTAAGTAGAAACAAAAATTTTTGTTGGGAAAATGGTTTTTGAAAGAGTATATCTAAATTTAAATACATGATTGCACATTTCAAACTGAATACATTTTAGTAGAGCACTTGTCCTTTGAATACAACTTGAAAACTGTAATTATGCTAATATTTGGTTGTAAATTAACTAAGGAAGTTCTTTAGAAAGATGGGCCTTAGGGCGAGTGTAGTGGCTCACACCTGTAATCCCAGCACTTTGGGAGGCCAAGGTGGGAAGATTGCTTGATCCTAGGAGTTTGAGACCAGCCTCGGCAACATAGCGAGACCATGTCTCTACAAAAGATAAAATAAACCAGGCGTGGTGGCACGTTACTTGGGAGGCTGAAATGGAAGGCTCACCTGAGCCCGGAAGGCCAAGGCTGTGGTGAGCTGTGACCATGCCACTGTACTCCATCCTGGATGACAGAGTGAGACCTTGACTCCAAAAAAAAACAACAAAAAAAAGAAAAGATGGACTTTGACTAATTTATCTATCAAGATAGTTCTTTCTTGAAAGGATGGTAGATAGTTAGTAGGTGTTTTGGTCACCCATCACCAATCCAAGAAGGGCAGTTAATTGCCAGACTGGAAACCTAGAGCACAGCTTGTCCATAAAGTTTGCCTCTATCTAAAAATGTTATTTCATGCTTGTTTCTTCACTTTCAAGTGGGGTAGATATCAAGTATGCTTTCTGTGCCATTGTTCCATGTAATGCCTTCCTTATAGGGAAGCAGGTGTAATAAAGAATTCACAATATGAATAAAAGAAGAGATACCAAAGTCATTGGATATTTATAGAGAATTTTATGTAGTTTTTGAAATAATATTGTTAATTAAATCTTAGTCCTTTTCATTATAGTTTCTAAAGTTATAATACCAGAAATTGCTTAAAAATGTCAATCACTGACAAACTTCTCTCTTTGGATAATCAAATATGTCTTAAACTGTCCCAGGTTTAATTGAATTACTATTACATCTCTTTCACTTGTGCTTTCATGATTTACAGTCCACAGTAATTTCCAAGAATTGTGCCTGACAAAATTGAATTTTGCTTATCTAACTCTCTGAACACTCAAATTTAGTTCTTTAAAGAGAAATTGCAGGGGGTTGGGGGAGGAGGAATGTAAAGTTTATTAAATTAATATATACCCATTAAAGAAAATTAGAAAGAAACTGAGCTCTCCCACCAAAACACAGCAACTGTTAGCATTTTGATGGATCTCCTTGTCTTCTCATAAGTAAGTTGTGTTATAAAAATTGATCTTGCCTTTCCTGCTTCTAGGACTGCCTTAAGGAAGTATTGGAGATTGTGGAACTGGGTATCTCAGGCAGTAAGTCCAAGAACAGTGAGCAAGAGGTCAAGTACAAAGGAGATAAGGAGCCAAACCCTGCATCTATGAGGGTAAAGGATGCTGCTGAAGCCACCCTAACATGGTATGAAAGTGATTGCACAGGAATTGTGTCTGGGAATTAGATGGGCTTCGTACCAATCCATGGTCTTTCATTTCCTCCCCCAATTGCTTATCATTTAGTGACTCAGCCTCTTGAGGGTACTTTTTCTCCAGTAATAAAACTTTTTTTTCCCTATTTTTATAGACCAAAAGAAACCAAGAACTTGGGGCTGAGAGTTCAAGTCCTTATTTTTCTATACTAGTTGATATTAATTTAAGTCTTCCTATATTAGAGCTGGAAAGGATCTTAGAGAGACTTATTCCATACCTTCACTTGGTGGCTGAGTGCAGAGATGGGATCTGTCTGTCTGTGGCCACACTATTAGATGTGCTTTCCAGCTCAGTGGTCTGTATTCTGTGCTACCCCATTTATATTACATAGTGTATATTCATTCAGCCAAGGTTTATGAACTCTTTCTTAAGAACTGGGACTAGCATCATAAAGATAAATCAGATTCAGTTGCCACCACCTCTACTATCTTTTTAGTAGGGATGATAAGATATGAACATAAGGCCATTCACGGTGGCTCATGCCTATAATCCCAGCACTTAGGGAGGCTGAAGCGAGAGGATTGCTTGAGCCCAGGAGTTTGAGACCAGCCTAAGCAACATAGTGAGACCTGTCTCTACAAAAAATAAAAAACTTAGCCAGGCATGGTGGCTCACACCTGTAGTCCCAGCTACTTAGGTGGCTCAGGCAGAAGTTTCTCCTGAACCCAGGAAACTGAGGCTGCCATGATTGTGCCACTGTACTCTAGCCTGGGCAACAGAGTGAGATTCTCACTCAAAAAAAAAAAAAATGCACACACACACAAATAGCTATAATATTAAGTAGAAAATGAGTGCTCCAAGAGAAGAGTTAAAAGTAAATACTGAGGAGTTGGAAGGAAGAAATGAGTACTTCCAGATAAGGGTAAATCAGGGTAAATTTCCTAAGGAAAATGATATTGGACCTGATTCTGAGAGAGTGGGTAAAGTTCAAGCTACCAGCCAGTTTACTGGGTGGTGAGACCACACCAAGATTGCTGTTTCAAGTATTTGGGTAAAGACAAAGAGGTTGGTACCTTAAAAGAGTAGCAGAGAAAGTTGAGTTTTTATTTGGCTGGTAAGTAAGGAGAGTGGAAAAAGGCACATCTGTGGACTGAAGGGAACAGTAAAGTGGGGAAAATCAGGTGGAAACATAGTGCAGATGGAAAGATGGAGCTTATGGAAGTAAAAGCAGGAAGGAGTATCAAATTAGTTTGGGTTGGCTCACCTTCAACTTCTTAGTAAAGTGGCAGGCAAGAAGACCACTTGAAGATTTGTGTGTAAGTCAGCTCTTACCATCTTCTGTGTGTTCAGTGGCCTATTGCTTACTTGGGGTGTGCATGTTGAAGTTGGATTTGTTTCTCTTCCTCATGGACTTTGGTCATTTAGTAAATTTTTAGAAGAGTGCTTCCTGTTGTTTAGTGCTGCTTACTGTGCTAATGCTGGACTTTTCTGTGACTTTGTGGAGGTATGGCTAATAGCTAGAAAATCAGAAAAATGTGAATGCTACTACTAGAGCGCATGCTTATGCTGATGATGAATACTAGAAGTAATAAAAGTTCAGAGAGAAGACTGCTTGTGGGCTGGGATAGCTTTAAAAGTGTCATAGAACTAGAACTTGATGTGTGCCTTGAAGGGTAAGAAGGGTATGGAGAGAAAAGGGAAGGACATCTCTCACTGGGAATTATTCATTACACAAAAATAAGTTTGCTCCCTCCTAGCCTGGATGGGGTGTTTCTGTGAGAGTGTATCTGGCAGTGAGTATTGGGATATGTACTCAAGATGTGATGAGAGCCCTGGGACACTTCTCCCCAACCTGCTAGTAGTTAGCTTGGTGGCTCATCTGTTTCTCGTCACCTGTCTTTTCTCTGCTGGGAACTCCACAAATGGTATGTCCAGGTTTCAATCTTGAAGGGTGCCCAATTGGATTTCTTTGTTTTCTCACAATTGCTGCTTCATTCATTGCTGTTTGCCAGTTACGCAAACACAGAAACACTTTGGCTGTTTCTCTGATTTATCTTTCTGTCATTCCCCATACAAGCCAGTGACTAAGTCCGATGAACTTCATTTTTGTAAAGTATTTGCTGCGTCCCTCTAACCTCAGGTAGCATTCTAGTCTAAGTCCTCCTCACTTCTTGCCTGATGTCCTTGTTTTCGGCCTTAACTCTTCCTGTTCATCTTGCAGTCCATTGCTAAACTCATCATCTTTAAACATAATTTTGATACTGCCACTTGAGTAATTGAAAACCTTGAGTAGATCTGTTTCCTGCCATGAAAGAAATATAAGTTATTATTATTCATCTTTCCCTTTACTGCCCCCCAGCTCATCCCTTCTGCCATAGTTGGGCCTGGTGGGTCCCTTGAGACTGTGACCTGGCCATGCTTATACCTGTTTTTGTTCCTCCCCTGGGTTTCAGGGCCTTTCTTTTCTCCCCTTGGCCACATCCTACACTGTTCAATGGTAATATCAAATTGAGTAACTTCCATGAGACCTTCTTTGGTTATTTTGCTTATGAAGGATGATTTTCTTTTGCACCTTTGCTCATTTTGTCAGACAGACCCTACCACACAGCATGTAATTCTATATTGTCATGGCCATACCTGGTTATATTGGATGCATTCTAGTGTTGTCTCCCAAGTCGGGGTAGAGGCCACATTCACCCTCAACAATCATCACAATGCTGAGCATATAGTAGATAATTATAAAGTACAGATAGCTGGTTAGGTTTTTTCCTTTGGTGTCCTAAATGCAAATCGAGAATTAGAAGTCTTGGAAGTCACTTCAATGGCCCCTTTGCTTAAGTCATCTTTGAGACATATTTACCAAGTTATTTAGCCTCCAATTTAGAGATAAGCTAACCTCCAAGGTTTCATTTCCTTTTAATTGTTAAAAATGATGTTTTACTTTGAGCTGAAATCTCTCCCACTTTACTTTCTATCCTTGGTTCTAATTCAGATTTTTGATAATGAAATCCTTTTTGTCTGGGCAGTATAATATCCAAAAGCATTGCTCATGTTCTCTCTGATTCATTTCTGCCAGAACATGCAGATTTTTTGTTTCTACTACAAGGATTCAAGTACTTTTACCATCCTGATTAATATCAACTGGTGTAAGTTTGACCATGTACCTCTTAACAGGTGATTTACTGAGTACAGTATTCTAAATGTGGTTTGTTGATCTTTAAACTCTGTAGAATATTATGTTTTCAGTAAAATGTATTCAGACTGTATAGTGTTTTGTAGAACTTGGTCATTTGCATCAAGTTAACTAAAATATTATTTTTCACACATTTACCTCAATCTGTCTTTCTCATCCTGTACTTATTTGGCTGTGTTTGAATATAATACACAGAACTTTACATTTAAAATGGAAATTTCGACCTGGCTCGGTGGCTCAGCCTGTAATCCCCTGCCTTGGGAGGCCAAGGTGAGTGAATTGCCTGAGCCTGCAGGTTCAAGACCTGGGCAACTTGGCGAGACCTCATCTCTACAATAAATAAAAAAAATTAGCTGGGTGTGGTTGTGCGCACCCGTAGTTCCAGGTACTTGGAAGGCTGAGGCGGAAGGATCGCCGGAGCCCAGCAGGTCGAGGCTGCAGTGGCAGGGAGCGGCCACTGCACTCCAGTCTGGGTGACAGAGTGAGACTCCAACTCAAAAAATAAATAAATAAAATAAAATAAGATAGAATGGAAATTTCATACATAAAGTAAGATTTACCTCATTATTTGTAGTCTTTAAAAAAAATTTTTATTATAAAGATGTGGGGTGCATTTCAGGGTTACGTATATAAATATTGATCATGCAGGTACCCTTGTTGATGAAGTATGCCCCTCCCTCCCCTAGCAGTTTCCCTCAACTGCCAATCCTACCCCCCCCACAGTTTTTCACTACTGCCAGTCGCTTTCTTATAGTATTATAATTGTTCAAGGTCTGTTTATGAGTAAAACATATGGAACTCTGTTCTTCGTTTCTGTGATAAATCACTGAGTATGATCAACTCCAAATCCATCCAAGTTGCTGCAAAGTCCATATATTTGTCCTTTTTTATGGCTACATAATATTCCATTGTGTATGTGTACCACATTTTTTTTTTATCCAGTCCAGCTTTGATGGGCAACACGGTTGGTTCCATGTTTTTGCTATTGTGGATAGAGCTGCAACAAACATATGTGTGCAGGTATCTTTTTTGTAGAATGATTTGAGATCCTCCGGGTATATTCCCAATAGGGGAATAGTTCTTTCAGAAATTGCCACACTGCCTTCCAAAGAGGTTGTACTAGTTTGCATTCCCACCAGCAGTGTAGAAGCGTTCCTTTTTCTCCACATCCTCACCAGCATCTGTTGTTGTTTGTTTTATTAATGATGGCCATTCTTAGAGGGGTTAGATGGTATCTCAATGTGATTTTGATTTGCATTTCTCTGATGATGAGTGAGGCTGAGCACTTTTTCATGTGTCTGTTGGCTGCCCATATCTTCTCTTGAGAAGTGTCTATTCATGTCTTTTGCCCACTTTTTTTTCCCCCCTTCTGATTATAGGTTATATTCTCCTGCTTTTTTGCATGCCTGGTAATTTTTTTATTAGATGCTGGACATCAGTTACTAATTGTGTTGTATTTCTTTTCTTTTTTTTTCTTTCACTAGTATTGGATCTTATTCTAGGAAGCAGTTATTTTGAGTCTGTTGGATAATTTTAAGGCTATCTTTTAAGTTTATTAGGGCAGATACAGAGAAGAGTTGATTTCAGGGTTAATTAACACCCACTTATAATCAATAGCCTTCTTTTTTGTTGTTTTTTTTTCCCTTTCAGTGCATTTGAGTTCCTTGTAGATCCTAGATGTTAGCCCTTTGTCAGATAAACAGTTGGCAAATATTTTTTCCTATTCTGTGGGCTGTCTCCCTGCTCTCTTGATGGTTTCTTTTGCTTTGCAGAAGCTCGTCAGTTTGATGAGGTCCCACTTGTCTATCTTATTTCTTATGGTATGGACACTTAGGGTTTTGATCAGGAATTAGTTGCTAGTTCCATTTTCCATAAGGGTGTCTCTTGCATTTTCTAAGAGTCTTATTGTTTGAGGTTTTATGTTTAGGTCTTTGATCCATTTAGAGTTGATTTTTGTGTATGGTGATCGCTAGGGGTCCTGTTTCAATCTTCTGCATGTGATCAGCCAGTTTTCCCAGCACCATTTACCAAATAGGTTTTCCTCTCCCCAGTGGTTGTTGTTAGGGGCTTTGTCAAAGATGTGTTGATTGAGAAATTGAGGCTTTGCTTCCGTAATCTCTATCCTGTTCCATTGGTCTATATGCCTGTTTTTGTACCAATACCAGGTTGTTTTGATTACTATAGTTAACAGTGTTGATTCTTCCTATCCATGAGCATGGAATATTTTTCCATTTGTTTGTGTCTTCTTGGATTTCTTTAAGCAGTGTTATTTTTAGTCTTTTAAGATTCTTTTGGATCTCAACTCTTATTCTGATATGTTGTCTTTGCAGCTCAACTTTTGGTAAGTTGAAGATTTAACGAACATGTCCTGTGTCTTCTAGAGACATTTATAAAATTATTAAACAGAGCTAGATTCACAAAACACATCACCAGAGGATTTCTTTCAGATTCACAGGAAGTTTTAAATTTTATCTACAAGGCTGGGCACAGTGGCTCACACCTATAATCCCAGCACTTTGGTAAGCCGAGGTGAAAGAATTGCTTGAGCCCATGAGTTCTAGACCAGCCTGGGCAACTTGGCGATCGAGACCTCATCTCTACAATAAATCAGTTAGCTGGACATGGTGGCGCATGCCTGTAGTTCCAGCTATTTGGAAGGCTGAGGCAGAAGGATTGCCTGAACCCAGCAGGTAGAGGCTGCGTTGGCCGTGAGTGTGCCACTGCACTACAGCCTGGGAATCAGAGTAAGACTAAACTCAGAAAAACTAAACTCAGAAAAAAAAAATTTATCTACAAGTTTATCATGATACACTGTCAACTACTACTATGTCTTGATTTCAAAGATATTTATCTGCCTTTCCTGTCTAGTCAATATCCAGAAGAGAAAATGTGGTTAAGCTGATGTGATTTGATGTTAGTGATCTATTTATTCCCTTACCAACAAACTGTGTGATAATATCCTAGAATCTTGTATGGATCTTGACAGGCTTGTGTTCCATATTCTTTATGATATCCGTCTCTGTCCCATTTTAGAAAGCCAAAGTCACACTTTCTCATTACTGATCTCCTGGTATTTCTCCTGTTTTCTGCACATTGTTGGAGGCATGAACTTAATGTTAAGTTCTCTTGGTTCTTGAAATTCTTTGACAGTCCTCCTTCTAGGAGGAAAAAAAAAATGGAAAGAAAATATCTGTGAAGCAGTGTTGGTTTCTGTTATCAGAACTCTTGGATTTAAGCCTTAGAGTGAAAGAGAAGAGGAGAGGCCACTCAAATTGAGAGTTGGGATGCTAAAAGTTGTATTGTGGAATATTGGTTTTGAAATGAGATGCATATAAAGGGTCAGGAGATATTAAAACTACAATATAAAGTCTTTATGTTTTAATTATGGGACATTTTTCTCTGTGCTTCAGGTTCTTCATTATAAAATGGGAATAATAATGGTACCTATCTCATAGCATTGTTTAGAAACAATGTGAAATGATGTGTATAAATTGTCTAGAACAGTGCCTGACACATAGTAAGAGCTATATACGTTATTATTATTATTATCGTTATTATGGATTGAATGTATACAGAAATCTGTATGAGTATAAACATTTCTGAATGTTCAGATTGATCAGTTGATTTCAAGTTTATAAAGCCTTTTTTTCTTATATATTTTTTGTTTAATAATTACAACAGTTCTGTGAGATGTAACTATTAGTTCTTCAAGTTCTTTATCTGTAAAATGAAGTTAATATCTACTTTTGGCCACACCAAAAGAAGGCAGCAGGCCCTGGTTTCTGGGCTCTTGATAATCACCTATCTCTTCTGAACTCGAGTTTCCTCATCTGGAAAATAAGGGAGTTTGGCTGATTTTTTGAATCCTTTTCTAGGTCTCTAATGCTTTAGTTAGCATAATCCTGAAACCTGGAGCACCCAAGCTGATTTTTGAATATATCTTTAGGGTCTTCAGGATTTGGAAGTGTGGTTGGTCATGCTCCTTGGGTAGCACACTCCGAGATAAATGTGTTTGCAAAAAGTTTACTGGAAAGTGCTCTCAGGATCAGTCCCTGTGGGGGAATGAAGGAAGCAGGACTGGACAGAGGGAGGAACTAATCTGTGAAGCATTTGCAACTCTAGAGCTGGCTTGATGCTTCAGTTTTTTCAGGCTGAAGGAGAGGGCTGGAACTTTATACCACTGCATCAACCTTCATTAGATACGCTGTCTCAGAAAGATGCTGTACTCTTGAGTGAATGATTCTCATTGACCAAGGGCAAGTCCTGGATTGGGACTCATCTGAAAGCTGTGGCCACATCTGGGAGAATGGACCTTTTAGTATTAGAAGGGAGCATCTGGTCATGGTGTTCACCACAGGGAGTAAATCTGACCTGTTAAGAAGAAGCATGACTGTGGTCAGTTAAAATTCAGAAGAGTGGAAGGACACATTGTGCATGAGGTGAGCTGAAGATTTTGCTTTGGGAATTAACTGTTGTCTTTCCCATTCTCCATAGTATCATGCAGTTGCTTGGCGCATTTCCTTCACCCAGTGGTCCTGCATCTCCCTGTAGTCTGGTGAATGAGACCACTCTGATTAAGTACTCTAGGCTGCCGACCATAAACAAGCATAGTTTCCGGTATTTTGTCTTGGATAACAGTGTCATCCTGGCAATGCTGGAGCAACCACTTGGAAATGAGCAGAGTAAGTTTTAGCACTTTGAGCCTTCTTTACTGCTAAATCAATATGTTATCAGTACCGTGAAGCTGTTTCCAGGGCCAGGGAAGGAAAGACTGCAGATTCTAAATAATTGTGCATTTGTCAGAAAGACTTCTAGCTGTGGGACAATAGCACCAGAAAAAAGGGGTCAGAAAATAAAATATACATATTAAATAGAATCTTGTAAAGGCTCTTTATTGTATATCTGAAATGATTCTATAGTTTTATTATAGTGGGTTATCTTATGTTATTTATCATTGTCACTCTTTCTTCCCACTTGAGCTTTGGATCCTGCTTCTCTACTCCCCTGCCCCTCACTCCTCATTGTTCTATTTCAGTTATTGGTGCCACCCACACAAGCTAGAAATTTGAGGAGTCATCCTTGCCTGCTTCTTCCTGTTACTCCCGTATATTATTAGTTTCCAAGTTGCTACCTCCTCAGTGACCCTTGAATCTTTCCTCTGTATTTCTCCCAATATGGCCAATTATTTCTTACCTAGATTATTACTGTTGTTTCCTACCTGGTCTGATTCCTTCTACCCTTGCCCCTAGACCTCTTGCCAATTCCAAAATTTGTTTACCTTTACTTCATCCTACTTGCTGCCACTGTAGTGTTCATCCTCAAATACAGATCTGACCATGCCAGTGCCCCGCTAAAAACCCTGTAGCGATTTTCCGTGGATACATTTGCCATTTTTCTCCTTTCCCTCCCTCTAGTTATAACCCATTTCAAAGTATATGATCACCACTGCAACCCAAACTGAGTATGTTTTTTCCTGATGGTAATTGGCATCAGCCAGTATGTATAGGAAGCATGTTCTCAGAGAGACCCTTGTTGCAGGGAAGGTGAGAGAGTGAAGGTTAGAGGATCTGTGGGCACAAAGGTCCCTAGGGAATCACCTGGTCTACAATTCCTTCATTTACAGGTGAAGACAGAGACGGTATATGACTTGCCCAGATTTACTTGAGAAGTATATGGTATAGCTAAGACTAGAACCCAGATTTTCTAAGCTTCATACGATCCCTTTCTGGTATCGTCCCACAGTGATAGAATTTGTTCAGTGGCTAAAGACTTGCCTTCTTGCCTTTGTAAAGGTGAACTGGATTTGAAAGCTTAGGAAAACACTGTTGGGACTTGGATTAGGAGAAGTTCTGCAGTTGATAACAGGTTTATTTGAAATGGTTGTTGTCTGAAATAAAAACTTTTACACAAACATTTTATTCTAGATGATTTTTTCCCCTCTGTCACTGTGCTGGTCCGGGGAATGTCTGGAAGACTTGCTTGGGCACAACAGCTTTGCCTTTTACCTAGAGGAGCAAAAGCAAATCAGAAGGTATTCATCAGAAGTTACAGGGAAGTGATGAGGAGAGAGATTGTGTGTGTGTGTGTGTGTGTGTGTGTGTGTGTTTGTGTGTTTTATGATGTAAGGGTTAAATAACATTTGAACAAAAATGACAGGCAAAATAAATATTTTTGATTCCTAGCCAGATTCTCAGGTCAGTGGGTTCACATCAGAATCATCTAGGAACCTAGAATTCAAGATCTACTGAATTACTCTTTAAAATCATCTTCAAGGCAGGTATAATTTCAAAAAGCTTTCTAGGTGATTCTGACATCCACTTAGGAGTAAGAACTACTTTTCTGAATAGTGGCCCCAGTTTTTTCCAAGTAATTTTAAATATAATAAAAATCAGGTGTATACCATACATGAACAAAATTTGGCTATACCTTTGTGTCCAGCAATAGGACTTAGTTTCAAATTGTTTATATGATATATTCTTGTGTAATAATTGATAACATGCTGTATCATTTTTAATATACTATATGATTTAATTAAATCATTTGGGGTGACAGTTTATTTTCTTTATTGCATTTGTAATTATGTGAATAATACTTGCTTATGGGAGAAAGTTGGAAAATTCAGATAATAAAGAAGAAATTTAAATCACCAGTACTCACTATATAGAGAGAAATAGCCACTGCTAATATTTTAGTGGATTTCCTTCCAATCTTTTTTAAATTTCCATACTTAGTAACACTTAAATAGAATTTGAGTCATTTTGTATACTGCTCTTTTCACCTACTATGTTGTGTAACCCTTTACTTCTGTTACTAAAAAGTTATTTTAAGATGACTTAATAATGTCACCAGCATTTAAGGGAGACACCCACAAAACTGGAGCATGTGCCTAAAATCATTTAATATCTTAGATGTCTCTGTTGGATGAGATGTGTTTATCACCTTGTGAGAAGTACTCCTCCGTTTTCTCTTGGGGGTGTTACACAGATTACAGTGTGTCAGCAGCTCAGTAAGCCACTAAGTTATCATCAAAGACTGAGGAGGAAGGGAAGCAGAAAAGAAGCTAAAATTTGATGAGAGGTCACTGTTTACCATGTACATATTAAAGCCTGGGTTTGGAGCCATGAAAACCTAGATTTGCTGTTCATGCTTTCTCAATTAAGCCATGCTAAGGTTCTAAACTCACTTTCTAGAGATGCCTAGTAGACCTAAACTTGTACTCTGTTATATGGAGTGACTGGAGAGCCCTTGGCTTACCACCGAATGCAGGAAATTCAGGCCTGCATCAGTGGAGGTCCACAACCCATTCATCAGCCATAAGGTCTATAAGTTGATGAACATTTTTAGAAAAATAAAATAGAGTACCAAGGTACACAGGCTGCTTACCTTTACTCTTATCTGTAGCATTTGCATAGTCTTAGTGAGTTTTTGTGACATGTAATTTAGGGAAACATGGGCATCTGAGGGAAATGCATGCCATTACAGATGGGTTTTGGACCATGTGTAGTAGATATAATGTTATTTGTTTTATTTTAACAGCTTTTTGTGCCTGAACCTCGCCCCATTCCTAAAAATGATGTTGGATTTAAATACACTGTGAAACATCGGCCATTTCCTGAAGAGGTGGATAAGATTCCTTTTGTGAAAGCAGATCTGAGCATCCCAGATTTGCATGAAATCGTCACTGAAGAAGTAAGATAAATTATTTTTAGCTGTTAAGGGAATGAGTATAAGCATTCTTAAACGACTTGCATGGTCAAGGCAATGCCTTTAGTGTTTTTTAGGTGATTTGTAAGGTTACCTGTGTCTCTGTCATGCAGGAGGTTATCATGTAGTAAGACAAATATAGATTGTAACTGATTAAAAGGATGCCTTAGAGATGTCACTGGGCTGCCTGGCTATTCATGGTAGGTTTCAGTAGTGTAGTGACATGATCAGATGCTGGTAATAGAGGATATTTTGAGAAGGGAGACCAATTTAGAGACTATTTTGACAATCCAAGCCCTCATAAGAAAAGAAAGACTATGTCACTGATAATGGAAGATTAATATAATAAAATGTATCATAGAGGTAAATTCAAATTCAAACAGTCTTGGATTGACGATGGAAGGAAAAGAGCAAAAGAATTTTAGATTTTGAACTTGAGTGACAGATATATATCAGTGCCATTGACAGAAATATGGGTATTAGGAAGAAGACAGGTTTGGGAAGATGGGAGAAATTTATTTATTTATTTTTAGATTTTAATTAGATTAGGCAACTGGTCTCTTAGTTCAGTGGAGAAGAATTTCAAGAAGTGAGGGACAGAAGTATGTCAGGGCATGAAACTGAGGTTCAGAGAAGGTATGCAACTTGCCCAGATTTACTTGAGAAGTATATAGTATGGCCAGGACTAGAACCCAATTTTCTAAACCCCGTACTGTCCCTTTCTGGTATTGTTGTCCCACATGGGTAGGATTGGAAGTGAACAGGGCATGAATGAACAGAAGGGCAGGGCTGGAGGAAGGGCTGTGCTATCAAATGTTAGAGCTATCAGGGAGAAGGAAGAATAAGAGATGGCTCCTGGATTTTGGCATGAAACTGTAGATGACCTTTGAGAGCAGGTTCAAAGGACTGTTAAGTGGGAGGCAGAGTATAAGGGGCTAAGGAGTGAATGTAGTGAGGGAGGCAGAGAGCAGAAACTGCACTATCAGCAGTAAGGGAAGAGTGCAGAATGGGTAATAGCGAGTGGAAGTAGCCTCATTAAGGAAGGGTGAGGCTAGTTGTTTCTTTTCTTTCTTTACACTCAAGGATGGGAGGACTGGAACATGCTCAGAGGTTAAAAGGAAGGAGCCAGTGGTGAGGGGTCGGCTAATACTGTAAGGTGGCTAGGGAATCATAAGTTATAGAGGCAGTAGGGTCAAGCATCTAGGCGGTTATGTCTAGAAAAGGGATACTTCTGATAAGACAGAAGGAGAGAGTAGGGGAGGGTTTGGAGACACTTCGAGTGCACAGGAGGGAAATTGGAGAAGCTTACATACATTTTAATCTTAGTTCTTGGCAGAGTAATAGGGGATCAAAGACGGTTCTTAAAATTGTCAGGCAGTCCAGCTGAGGTTAAAAAGCATCATCTTTAGTGAAGTTATATAATTTACTGTGCTGAATTTTCAGAAGTCCTAAGGGTCTGGGAGCATAAGTAAAGAATTTGAATGGTTTGGAAATTGACAGGTGTGGGAATTTGGAAGGATAAGGTTCAACACAGCTATTTTATATGCTTAAGGAGAAAGTATTTAGATTTTAGATTTAGGGGATTAGGCTTAATTGGGAAGCAGAAGAAGCCAGAAGGATGCTAGTGATGTGGAAAAAGTAGGGAGAATAACTGAGTGTCCCACAGTGATGGTAAAGCATGAACTCAGAGAATGAAAGTGTGGGAAGCTGCAGGAGGCGGGCTTATGATTGGAGGCAGAACTTCAGAATTGCAGCCGTTGAGAGTGGGATGTATCTGAAATTCAGGATATGCTCATGGATGGCCAAAGTCGTGAAGGTTGAGGAGGTTGTAGAATAGTGAGCTAGATTGCCAGAAGGATCATCGCTCACCAGAAGATGGAATTTTAAATTACGATTGATCCAAAGGGAAGAAAAGAATGGGGGTGTTTCTAAGAGTACACTTAGGTAATCCATATGGATAAGGACTTCAGAACATGAGAGAGTGCTGTAGGATGAAGGTAGACAGTAATATGGAAGGGTGAGGTGGGAGGAATAACTGCTCCCTTTCTTGCTGATTTGAAGGGGAGAAGATGCGATGGTTTCATTTACAACAGGGAGATGAAGAGCAATTGTTGAAGCCGTAGGGAAGTTTTTTTGCTTTTTGTTTTAGCCTTGAAACATATTTGCTAAATTATATGTTCTGTATTGAACTGAGACACAGTGTTGATTGCTGAAAATTATCTCATTTTCTCTGTTGCTTATAGCTTTATTTTCATGTTAAAATTAATATTGACTTATTAGTGTTATAATAGTTCCAAAAAATGAAATATTTGCTTTATTTCAGTTAGAAGAGAGACATGAAAAATTAAGAAGTGGCATGGCCCAGCAGATTGCTTATGAAATACACCTTGAGCAACAAAGTGAGGAGGAATTGCAGAAGAGAACTTTTCCTGACCCTGTTACAGATTGCAAGCCCCCACCTCCTGCCCAGGAGTTCCAGACAGCTCGCCTTTTCCTTTCACACTTTGGATTTTTGTCCTTAGAAGCATTAAAGGTAATTTTTGTGAACTTTTATGAATAAATCTATTCATATATTCACCTGACAATAGCTACAATATTTTTATGAGGATAGAAGGACATTTTTTTAAAAAAGAAAAACTAGTTAAAATCTTACCCTGCATGCAAATAAATGAAATTCTGTGCAGCTGTATGTTATAGTACATGCTCCAGGACAGTTTACCCCATGAATGCATTCAGAGTTCTATCTGAGAGGACTGCTTTGATAATACACCTAGTTCTGAGTTTTCCTTTATAATGTAGGACCTATATTACACATATAAATGATCCACAGATAAGTAGAAACCCTTAGTAAACATTATTACTGAAAGTGTAACCTAAAATTGACTATTCTTTCTTACCACTTTTACAAAGAAGTGAAGTTAATCCTGTAGTATTTGTAAGCCAAGCACTTCTTCTGTTGTACAGTTTGTAAGATCAGACTGTCTAGGATTATGTCCTAGAATCACTGCTTGCCAGCTTTGTGGTCTTTGGTGAGCTATCTGACCTTTCTGAGTCTTTAGTTCCTCATTTATAAAGTGGGGATGATAAAAATATCTGCTTGGTTGTGTGAAGATTAAATGAATTAACACATGTAAGATACTCCACGTAATACTTAGTGCAAAGTAACCCAGTTTATCAGGTAAATATTCTTAATTATTGCCATTATTTTTAATTCCATTATTCTTAAAAAGTTCTATAAGGGAAGTGATGCTGTTCCTTTTTTATAGAAGTGAACATGGAGGCTCCAAAATGTGAAATAACTTGCCTGGGTTTATTCTAAGACCTATTTGTTCTGAAAAAGTGCAACTGAACATTGCCAAGCAAGAAAGTGCTTTTTGCACAAGTTGTCCCTAACAGTTACCTAGTCATAGACCATTTAACATTGTGAGGAAGCAGGGGGGACATTGGTGTTTTATTTTGGGTTTCAGCATATAGAGGGAAAATATTTTATGCTATAGAAAACTGAGTTTCTGAAGCAGAGTATAAACATAAAAACATACAGGCCAGGCATGGTGGCTCACACCTGTAATCCTGGCACTTTGGGAGGCCAAGGTAGGAGAATCAGTTGAGCCCAGGAGTTCGAGATCTGCCTGGACAACGTAGCAAGACTTCATCTCAACAACAAAAAAACCCCCCAAAAATTAGCCAGATGTGGTGGTGCACACCTATAGTCCCAGCTACTTAGGAGGCTGTGGTGGAAGGATTGCCTGAGCCTAGGAGGTAAGGGCTGCAATGAGCTGTGAGTGTGCCACTGTACTCCAGCCTGCGTGACAAAGAGAGACTTTGGCTCAGAAAATAAAAAATAAAAAAAACTTGCAATGCAGAATAAAAGAGCAGAGAGAGGAAAATAATAAGAAATATAGTGGTAAATATAGAAGGCAAGGAAAAAAGATCTAACCTACAAATGTCTAATAAATAATATTTCTAGTGGAAAACATTCAACAGAGTAGAAGCAGTATATAAAAACATAGTAGAAGAAAATTATTATATTTTATGGACTTCAGGGAGACAAGAAAGGCCCTAATAGCCCTGTCTCTGAAATTGTAATTTTGCATTTGTGTTATCTATGCTAGCTGAAATTTTTAAGCTTTTAAGAAAATCTCAGGCTGGGCCCAGTGGCTCACGCCTATAATACCAGCACTTTGGGAGGCCAAGGTGAGAGGATTGCCTGAGCCCACAAGTTTGAGACTAGCCTGGGCAACTTGGCAAGATCTTATCTCTACAGTAAATCAAAAAATTAGCCAGACGTGGTGGCATGTGTCTGTAGTTCCAGCTACTTGGAAGACTGAGGCAGAAAGAGCACCTGAACCCAGCAGGTCAAGGCTGTGATGGACCTGAGCGTGCCACTGCACTCCAGCCTGGGCTGTGACAGAGTGAGACTCTAACTCAAAAGAAAAAAGAAAATAATTCTCATGCTTTCTTATCTGTATTAGAACATAGGAAAAAGTTAGAAAGTTACCTGGCTTATTGTATGAACCTTAGCATATCTCTAGTATCTTAAACCTGACAGCACACATGAAGGAGACTCAAAAAAACCATAATTATCTTTGTGAAAGGCAGGCACTTTGTAGTATACTTGGAATTTGTTCCTCCAGATCAAGTGGTCAACCAAAGTTTTTATTTGTAAGTTTTGAGAAGGTTGCATCATAATTTGCAGAAGAAACATCCCAAGTTGTGGCAAACAGGTGACTGATTCTTCCATCATGACAATGCACCTGCCCACACGTTGTTGAGTGCTCAGCAGTATTTGACCAAAAACGGCATGACCCTTGTGTCCCACCCTCTCCAATCTCACCCCTCTGGGAAACTTTTTGTTTCTCTTGATGAAAAAAGTCCTCAAAGGGAATCATTTTGCCACTGTGGAAGAGGTGAAACAAAAGATTGCAGAAGTACTAAAAAGCATCGAAATTGTTGAATTCAAAAATTTTGAGCAGTAGAAAAAGCATCTCAATAGGTATATTGCATCAAACAGATAATACTTTGAAGGTCACTGAAGTTTAAACATGTAAGAATAAATACACAATTTTTAATAAGTAAAATCCAGGTTTTTTGGGTCCCCTCTCATACATTATACAAAAACCTACAAACCAGTCTTACTTATGATAAGCAAATTATTTTCTGTGACCAAGTAAGGTTTATCCTAGGAACTTTAGAATTAATTAGTGAATTATAATTCATAGTAAAGCTATTAAGAAAATAATTTGATCCTATTAGCAGTTCAATAAATAAAAAAAAAACCAATATTTATTAGAATGATTCTAATTCTGATTTTAAAAAAAAACTTCACCAGGACTAGTAGTACAGGTTCTTACATTAAAAGATCTCTCTAAATGGCAGCCCAAGAGCTAACTAGAGATACTTGTTAAAATCAGAGGTAAGGATTATCTACCTTGACGACTATTTAACAATGAGAATGTAAAAAATATTTAAAATATGTAGGGAACAATTCAGGGTTAGGTATACAAATGTTCAATATGTAGGTACCCTTGTTGATGAGATACCCTTGTTGTGTGCCCTGCCCTCCCCTGGCAATTTCCCACTACTGCCAATCCTACCACCACCCTAACCTGGTGATTTCCCACTACTGCCAATCCCTTTCTTTTTTTTTTTTTGAGTTGGAGTCTCACTCTGTCGCTCCAGACTGTAGTACAGTGGCTGCTCCCGACCACCGCAGCCTTGACCTGCTGGACTCCGGTGATCCTTCCATCTCAGCCTTCCAAGTAGCTGGAACTACAGGCGCGTGCTACCATGCCCAGCTAATTTTTGATTTATTGTAGAGATGAGGTCTCGCCAAGTTGCCCAGGCGGGTCTCGTACCCGCGGGCTCAGGCAATCCACTCACCTCAGCATCCCAAAGGCACAGGATTACAGGCTGAGCCACCGAGCCCAGCGCCAATCCCTTTCTTACAGTGTTAAGATAGTTGTTCAAAGTTTGCTTTTGAGTGAGAACATATGATACTTGGTTCTTTGTTTCTGTGATAGATCACTCAGTATTATAGACTCTAAGTCCATCCAGGTTGCTGCAAAGTTCATAATTTTTTCCTTCTTTATGGCTGCATAATAGTCCACCATTTATATGTACCACCTTTTTTTAATATCCAGTCCTCTTTCGATGGGCAGCATGGTTGGTTCCATGTTTTTGCTGTTGTGAATAATGCTGCAATACTCATGCATGTGCAGATATCTTTTTCATAGAGTGAGTTGAGTTCCTCAGGGTATATTCCCAGTAGGGGAATTGCAGGGTCATATGGGAGGTCAGTTTTTAGATCTTTTAGGAATCGCTACACTGTTTTCCACAGAGGCTGTACTAGTTTACACTCCCACCAACAGTGTAGAAGGATTCCCTTTTTCCCACATCCTCTCCAGCATGTGTTGTTTTGTGAGTTAGTCATGATGGCCGTCCTGACTGGAGTTAGGTGGTATCTCAGTGTGGTTTTAATTTGCATTTCTTTGATGACTAATGAGGCTGAACATCTTTTCAAGTATCTGTTGGATGCTCGTATATCTTCTTTTGAGAAGTGTCTGTTCATATCTTTTCCCACTTTGTAATGGGGCTTTTTTTTTTTTTTTTTTTGGCAGATTTGAGTTCCTTGTAGATCCTATACGTTAGGCTTTTGTCAGACATACGGTTGACAAATACTTTTTCCAGTCTGTAGGTTGTCTCCCTGCTCTCTCATTGGCTTTTTTGGTTTTGTAGAAGCTTGTCAGTTTGATGAGGTCTCGCTTGTCTAATCTCTTAAGGCATAGGCACTTGAGGTTTTGACCAGGAATTGGTTGCCAGTTCCAATTTCCATAAGGGTGTCTCCTGTGTTTTC